TGGCCATAATCCATTCCAGGAGCTAGTCCTAAAGTCAAAACGGCCTAAAGTCGAAGCAATATTTCCCATAAGTATGTAAATCCAGTTTATCTGTTCCACCCAAAAATATTCACAAAAAATTCATTTTTTAAAGAATAAATACTATTGTTTTACAGAAAACAATGAGAAATATATAGCACTAATTTTAATGGATAATTGAACATTTAAATCAGTTTTACCTATATTGAAGACTCTTGTTGGCATATGAGAGAGGCAGGAGAGTTTGTTTTGAGGCAAGACAAGATAGTCCTTCAACATGACACTAATATCAACTATACGGCTTAATTATCTAGCACAATTCATCTAATATGACATAATAAACAATATTAATAACATAGAAAAATGATATATACTCTAGAATGAATAAAATATGTCATATGTCTCTCTCCCTTACCGATGAGTGTTGCTGCTTTGTTTGTTGTTGGGTGTATAAGGGCCACTGAAAGATAAGCCTTACATAGTGGTAGTGATGGCGGCAGCAGAGACGGCAGTATTGTCAGTCGCCCTATGGAGGAGTCAATTTTGTACTGTCCTTTTTCTATCGATTAATCACTTAACTTACTTGCTAGACTGTTAATGCTACACTTGATCGCTGGCTAGCACTATAGCCTTTATCAACTCGTGCTGCTTTAGTAAAGTACATATTGTAGAATCACTGAATCACTGAAGATGGCACATTCTCCCCTCTCTCTTCCTCCTCCTCTTTGGTACTTTGCTACAATTTCTTTCTTCAATGTTTCTCAATTTCTTTACCAAAGGGCTGCCACTATAAAGTTTCTTTGGGCCCATGGTGGCTTATTTCACAGTCACATTCAATAAACAAGCACTAAACTCAATGAATTTATTGTGAAATGTTTGGATGAGTGCACAGGGTAATGTTCACTCAAGGATAAACTAAGCTAGACTGGCACAGGCAGGAGGACAGGTCTGGTACACTGGCCAAAACATGGGGCACAAACCAAAACTCTGGACAAATTTAGCCGAAAAAAGTGGCCAAAACTTGGGGTTCCACTGTATGTGTATTTTAATTTTTTATTGTTTTTTAATGCCTAGTTCTATTGGTAACTTAATATATGTTAGTATAAACTTGTTATATAGTATTTATATGCATTTATAAGTGGAAAAAAAAGGGTGTTCCACTTTATGGCGATTTCCGCTTTACGGCGGCAGCCTGAAACCTAACCTGCCTTATAAGTGGGGCCCTACTGTATATAAATATAAAACATAGTGTGGGGCATCAGTGTTATTGTTTACTAATGCACATCAGTTGACTGTTAGAAGGGTTACTGTTCTAGATGGTGGGAAATGCTGACCCAGTTCTTTCATAGGTATCATGTGTTAAAAGTGTTCCATTTGAATATTTGGTAGCTACTCCTGTAAGATCTTTAATATTTGGATTTCTATTCCAATCCTTATCATGCTAATTGAATATTTATTATTATTTTTTTTTGTATTACATTAGTTTCAATGCCGGCAATTCAAGATTTCCAATAATTTGAATATTTGTCTTTATAAAGAATTGTGTTTATTTAAATATTAGGTAGTAAAAACTTACTCCCAAAATTTTCTTGCACATTAGTAACAATTTAACCCTTAAACGGTCCAAACGTATATATACGTTCACGCGCGTAGCGCCCCAAACGTATATATACGTTTTATTTTTCATTCGTTCAAAATTGGCGCGATAGGCCTGAGTCGCCTAGACATGAGAGAATGGGTGTGTGCACTCAGTGTGCGCAGTATGAAAAAAATTTGGGACGCCTGGGTACCGCATGGTAGGTCCAGTTACATTCAGCTCCATCTCGGGTCAGCATCATGGCATATCCTCGTGATTCACTCACGCCTCATCGTATTAACACTACTATTTGAGGAAAGTGATATAGATCATGAGTTTAGTGGATCTGACACTAATGGGGCCAGTAATATTTAAGGAATTAGTGAAAATATCGACGATAGCCCAGATGACCCTCAGCCCATCACTTCTGGGGTAGGACACCTGCCTGGGCCAAGCACTCTGGGGAAAGCCAGTGTGGCCACACAAGACCCTGGGCCAAGCACCTCTGGAGTGGCAAGTGTTACCCATAGGCAACTTTGCAAGAGGAAACTATCATTTTCCCGGTGTTTTACTGATAGTGAAAGTGATGTAAGTGATAATGAGATTGATTTTATGCCAATCAAGGATTTGTCTAGTGATAGTGAAGTTCATTATTCACCAGTGAAGCGTACTTTTAGGTGTTGTTATCTACGTTCAGGCAGTGTGCCATATGCAATCCCCAAGGGTCGTGGCAGGTCACGATCCAAAACCCTGGCCACTGATAGTGAAAGTGATCATGAAGGGGAGTATGCAGGGATGGAGGAAGTAGTGGTGGGTGGCACGGTGCCTGAAATTCAGTGTATACTTTTATCCCTTCAAAAACATTGTTGTTGATGAGTCCTTGATTCTGTTCAAGGGATACCTGTCATTCAAGCAATATATACCAAGCAAACATAATCGCTTTGGTATAAAACTTTTTGTTATGTGTGACTGTGAGAGTGGTCTTGTGTTGGATGTAATTGTATACACCGGGAAAAACACACTCGATGATGACAGACGAATGTTGGGCATTTCCGGTGATGTTTGCCGGATGATGGAACCATACCTTGGCAAGGGCCATACATTGTACACAGACAACCAGTATACAAGCCCTATGCTTGCTGTTTTCCTATGTGTGAACAATATTGATATATGTGGAACAGTGAGAAGGAATAGGAAACATATGCCAAGGTTCACTGGAGGCAGTGTTGAAGGTGAAGTGCAAGTGTTTCATGCTAATGACATCATGGCACTGACGTGGCATGACAAACGGGACGTGACATTGCTGTCAACCATCCACAGAAACGAGATGCTACAAACAGACAGACTGAGCAAGTTCAACAAAGAACCTATTGTAAAACCAGCTGCTGTTGTGGACTATAAGAACTATGTGACTAGTTGACAAGTGTGACATGACGATAGGGTTTGTTGACTGTGTGCGTAGGGGTCACAAGTGGTATATAAAACTGTTTTTTCACCTTGTAGACATTGCAGTACTCAATGCATTCAGTATGTACGAAATAAGGACTGGAAAATGACAGTGTTTTGCAGATTTCTCTCTGAATCTTGTCAAACAGACAGCAAGAAACTATGGTACCACACCTGTACCTGCCCCTCAACTGCGACCTGTCACACCACAACCTGTCCCCCAACCACAGCCAGTGGGGGAAGTGTCAGACCGAATCACTCCTAACTGTCACTATCTGGTACCAATACTACCTACCCAAAAGACGAAGAATGCCGAGAAAAAGTGTATTGTGTGTGCTACTACCAAAAAACGACCCCAACAGCGGAAGGACACACGATTCATTTGTCACCAGTGTGGGGTGGCACTCAGTATGAATCCATGCTTCATGGAGTATCATACAATTGTTGAGTTCTAGAAACATAAGTGGGACATGTAAATACTTGTATATAGTTGTAGATAATAGAATGTGATTCAGCCAGGTGTGCAAAATCACCTGTCAGTGTGTACATGTGTGTTTATGACAATATGATAATTTTGTATATAATATTGATGTATAAACAAAAATTGGCATTGGTATCAAAAGAGTTACTATAAAACATAATTATCATATCATGAAAACCAAGAAAATTAAAAAAAAAAAATTGGATGAAAACGGTAAATATGTAGAATTTCTGCAAGCAGCAGCGCTCCATGTTGCCGTCAGGTGATCACCAAGTGCCTCATATCTCGGTAAGTACTGACCCTAAAAAAATTTTTATAGGCTAAAACACTTAAAAAAAAGTGCTCTTTTTTTTCTGTATTTTTTTTTTTTTTTTTTCAAAATATTCGGGGCGCTGCGCCAGTGAACGTATATATACAATTGGACCATTTAAGGGTTAAGCTTAACAGAAATCATCATGTTTGACAGTATGGTATACTGTATTGTAAAATGGTATTGTGTGCAATCCATTTCATGTGGAATTTAAACAGCCATTTAAAGGTCAAGCGTACCAAATTTTACATTTCCTTTTTAATGTGAATTCTTATACATTTTGGTCTTGTTAAATACATAGCAAAATCTAGTTTTAGTTTCAAAAGAATTGTTAAAATGATATTTAGATGTCAGCTCACTGACCATTCAGCATCATAATTGTTGTGAATGATATATGCAAGAACCCTCACTAACCTCATCTACTGCCCTTGACATTGTTATTTCTATCAATCAAGATACTGTCCATTGAATGTAGAAGCTGAGACAAAAAATGTTCTATCCCAAGATACCCAGCTATATTACAGGCTGATCTGGCTTGATTGTTAGAAGGTTTATTGTTCTGGGTGGTGGGAAATACTGATGCATAGCTTCCATTATTATCCATCCTGTGTTGCCAGTGTTCCTATTTCATAAATATCCTGGAAAGTATGCATATTCCCTGCACATGTTTGTAAAATTAGTAGCTAGACTAAATTTAAGTGCCTCTCAAAGAGCTTAAAATTTGCTCTTTGGCAAAAAAGTACTTGAAAATTATTTGTTTATTTATACAATAAAGCATTGAGATAAGTTTTACTATTTTGATTAATAGTGATTAACTTTTGGTTGAATCTGTTGGAGATACATTGTCAAATACTGTGCTGTATTTTGATGTTAGTTAAAATGTGTAGTATTTTAATATTTTGTAAATATTTTAAGGTTTTTTACATGTTTTAATGTTAAATTCAAATCTAATGTTTGATTAAAGCTTGTGTACTATAGTTTTTGATAAGTATTACTGCTTAGTTATATTTTTAATAGTCAGATATTTAAAAAAACAGGATTACTTTTATCTACTCTGATGATTAATTACTATAGAAATCTTTGAGAGTGTAGTCTGTCTACTCAGTCTTTGTTAGAATCTTTGACTGTGTTATATTTTGTATATGAAGCAGTTGCTTTGGTCCCCACAGCTGAGAAAATGGGAAGCATGTCAGAATTGCGACCTCTCCTTCGGGAGATGAAAGTGCACAGGTAACTCATTCCATTATGACTGCGGCCTGCCAGCTTGTTAGGTCGTTAGCAGGTAGTATTGCAGCCCAGTCGTGGATAGTTTTGAGCTACCTCGCAGTATACAACAGTCTGTATTGTGTGGGATCTCATTCAGTTGTACTGTATTTGTAATTTACATCAGTTTAATAGGCAGTATCTGAAAACATTATGTAAGCTTCAAAAGAAGTAAGACGTACATTGGTATACAGTTATATATGTAGCGAAGTACCTCAAGTAAGAATAAGCCCAAAACTTAAACAAGTTTTGGTTGAGTGTTGTGCAGTATGGCTTGATAGTGTTACTAAGTAAATAAATATGTAATAGACAACAAAGTGTATTGCTGATTTTAGTGATGGACACTGTATAGGACTTGCTGCACCACACTCTTCCATGGTGGGTATGTGTAGATCCGCCTCAAAACTTGTCTGCCCCACACAGCCGTAATAGTACTTCCCCTCCGCAAGAGCTGGGCTGCAGTAGGTTTTTGCTTGACTGTAAATATAACGGACCCTTCTAGTGTGCATCACAACCAACCAGCCTGTGCCTGAGACCAGCTTCCTCACACCAGTCTACTAAGTTGGCTACTACCCACCAAAATATGTTAAAATGAAGCAAAATTTTATGAAGGTACTATCCGAAAAGCAACTTAGGCTACCATGACATGCAAGCAACCAAAAAATAGTTTTTATATTTTTTGCTGACAGAAAGTCTTATTGTTTACAGTTGTATGAACATTTTATGTATTTTGATGGGTAGGTAATTTGTTAATGGCAGCCATATATTGGGTTAAATATCTTTTAGCTATACCTTAAAAAAAGTATTTCAAAACTGACATTCAGTTCGTATTTATTTATTGCCTAATAGCTAATCATATATTATTTTTTATTAACTGACAGAAATCTATCCTCTTGAATGAGAGCTCCTTTTGGATCATATGTTACCTTTAGAATGTATTACTTATAGATCAATGGTTCAGAGAACCGACACGTTGATAAATTAGACACATGTGCAACTCTTGGGTATCTTTATTGAGGAAACATTTCGCCACACAGTGGCTTCATCAGTCCATACAAAGGAGAATCTTGAAGAACAGACGGAGAATGAGGTAATCAGTCCCTCACTTGACTCAAGGCTGAGGGACTGATTACCTCATTCTCCTTCTGTTCTTCAAGATTCTCCTTTGTATCGACTGATGAAGCTACTGTGTACCGAAACGTTTCCTCAATAAAGATACCCAAGAGTTGCACATGTGTCTAATTTATCAATGTATTACTTATGCAAAAGTATTCTTAATTCCATCATCATGGCTATGACTAACTTTGAATGATGGGCATGCTGCCATTTTTCTCCATAAAGTTATATTTTTTATCCTATGATTATATTGTCTAATGTTCTTATAATTGCTGTGTATGTGTGTTTGTGTGGGTGTGTATGTGTGGGTGTGTATGTGTGGGTGTGTGTAGCTTCCTTTTCCTCATATTTTTTCTCCTTTGCCTAATCATATGTTTTCATATGTACTTTACCCCTAATTATTTTTCCCTGCCTTGAAGTTGAGTGGCATTATTATTCATTGTGTAATGGTATGTGATATTATGTCTAATATGCGGAGGATTCCTTTTTATCACTTTATTTTTTCTGTTTTGTATACAGTGTGTGGGTGTACTCACCTGTATTTGCATTGACTGAGCTCTAGCTTCTGGGCTCTGTTTCATAATTAGTAATTGACATGTGTGATACATCCCAACTCTAAAGTTTTTTTTTTTTTTTGCATATTAGTGGTTGAGTTACAGATAGTAAGTTAGGTAAAAACATGCCAGAAAACACTATTTGTGGGTAAAATTTAATTAAAATTGAAGATGGCTATAATTATTTCATCACATTTTCATCTTTCAGGACTTCTTATTTTATATTTTTATTACTGAAATTAATGTGTTAGAGTTTACCCTGTATGGAATTCTCCCTTATATAATTCCACTCTCATTACCCCCACATTTCTTTGGTTAATTTGGGTTTCATGTTTCCATTTACATTAACTCATTGTGATTTGATGCATTTTAAACAATCATACTATCCATTTTATCAGTAACTCTTGAGTATCTTGTATGTTATTACAATATCCCCTCTGAGCCATTTTTTTTTTCATTTAATGTTATGAGAGTTAAGATAGTTCTTAAAGCTTAGTTTATAACTTTTTCTTTATCTCAGGATTAGCCTGCTAACAAGTCTCTGCAACTTCAGATGTCTCATGTAATTATCTGTTTGTAGCTAGAGGAACAGAGCTATTCTCATGGTGTCTAATCTTCAGTAATTTGCTAATCATATAATTTTTTTCAAATCTGAACTGGCTGAGAATGTGTTGATTCCAAAATGGTGTTGCTCTCACCAATATGGTATAGGTCTTGCATATAGTATGTTGAGAATGGTAAATGCTGTTACAGTTGCCAACTTCGTATATAACATAATTCAAATTTAAATTCCTTATTTCCTTGCAAGTTTACAATGTGGTTGACATATTTTAGGAAGTATATTTACATAGGTAGTTTACAGTGAGGGTTTACAATGATTTGCAGTGCAAAGAGAGCCACTATCATGCCTTGGCATTATGGGCAGTCTAAGAAATAAGATAGATGAGCTAAGATTACTTGCAAGTGTAGGTAATATAGATATTATTGGTATAACAGAGACCTGGTTCAACCTGAAAGATTGAGAAATCCCTTCTGAATGCAACATACAGGGTTATAAACTATTCCACAGTGACAGGGTCAACAGGAAGGGTGGTGGAGTGGCGATGTTTGTCAGAGAAAATTTAAATTGTTGTCTTAGATAAGATATAAGATTAGAAACATCGAACACAGAATCTGTTTGGCTACAGTTTCTCGAGGGACGTGACAAATTAATTTTGGGTGTGATTTATAGGCCCCCAAACCTTGATAGGGAGTGCCGTAAGCTGTTATGGGACGAAATTCATAAGGCATCTAGATATGAAAATGTTGTGATAATGGGAGATTTTAACTTTAGGCAAATTGATTGGAACAATATGACAGGAAATTTTGAGTCTAGTGACTTTCTTGATACGGTTCAGGATTGCTTTTAGAACAGGTTGTGACAGAACCAACTAGAGGAAAGAATCTGCTTGACTTGTTTCTTGCCAACAGAGATTCACTAATTAATAATCTTGAGGTTAATGATGAGCTTGGGGAAAGTGATCACAAATCACTTAGTTTCAATGTATCATGGAATTAACCAGATAACTGCAATCAAATCTCTGTCCCAGATTTTCACTTGGCCGACTTCATGGAAATGAAAAATTACCTGGGTGGGCTAAATTGGAATGTCCTGACTATGGGTCAGGTAGGTGATCTTGGTTGCCAATATGACGTTTATCAGAGCATAGTTCTAGCCGCCCAGACAGCTTTTGTTCTGAGTAGGGAAATTAGATCTAACAAATGGATGAACAATAGATTAAAACATCTCATTGGTCAAAAGAGAGGCATATATAGGCGTATCAAAAGAGCGGATGGGCAGTTAAGAAATCAATATATTCAATTAAAGAGAGAAATAAAGAAAGGAATAAGAAAAGCAAAAAGGGATTATGAGGCTGGGGTTGCAAGGGACTCAAAGACTAACCCAAAAGGGTTCTTTCAGGTATACAGAAGTAAGATTAGGGACAAAATTGGCCCACTTACGAGTAACTCTGGTCAGATCACTGACAGTGATAAGGATATGCGTGAAATTCTCAATACCTACTTCCTCTCAGTTTTCACCCAGGAAAATACTAGCGATATTCCTGAAATAATAGATTATGTAGAACAGGATGGTAATAAACTATGCATGATTGCTGTAACTACTGACATGGTCCCCAGACAAATAGAGAAACTAAAACCTAACAAATCCCCAGGTCCTGATGAACAGTTTGCAAGGGTGTTAAAGAAATGTAAAGAGGAACTTAACATACTTTTGGCTAATCTTTTTAACATATCACTACAAACTGGCATAGTGCCTGATAAGTGGAAAATGGCAAATGTAATACACCTACCATCCGACTTAGGACCATTTGACTTAGGACTGTGTTTTTTATGCCAAATTTCTGGGAAATAAACAACTATTTGTGTTGCACACAGTGTTTATCCTAAACTTACAGTATAAAATATACTAACAACATAAAACATGAAATACCAAAATAAAACAATAAAATAAAGTCATTACAAAAATGTTTTGTTGATATTCAGTAGTAAAGTTCGACTGACGACCATTTCGACTTACGACCTGTTTCTCGGAACCGAACTCGTCGTAAGTCGGATGGTAGGTGTACCTATTTACAAGGCAGGTGACAGGTCCTTGACTTAGAACTATAGACCAATAAGTCTTACTTCCATAGTGGGAAAATTTATGGAATCAATAATTGCCGAAGCAATTCATAGCCATCTTCATAGGCACAGATTGATTAATGAATCTCAGCATGGTTTTACAAAGGGGCGTTCCTGCCTTACGAATTTACTAACTTTTTTCACTAAGGTGTTTGAGGAGGTAGATCATGGTAATGAATATGATACTGTGTATATGGACTTCAGTAAGGCTTTCGATAGAGTTCCACACCAAAGGCTATTGAGGAAACTTAAGGCACACGGAATAGGAGGAGAAATTTTTTCCTGGGTGGAGGCATGGCTGACACATAGGCAGTAGAGAGTTTACATAAATGGGGAGAAATCAGAATGGGGGCACGTCACAAGCGGTGTTCCTCAGGGGACAGTGTTGGGCCCATTGTTCACAATTTACATAAACAACATAGATGAAGGAATAAATAGTGACATAAGCAAATTTGCTGATGACACCAAAATAGGCCGCCAATTCATTCTAATGAGGACACTAGAGCACCCCAGGATGATTTGAATAGACTGATGCAGTGGTCGGAGAAGTGGCAGATGCAGTTTAATATTGACAAATGCAAAGTTCTAAATGTTGGACAGGTAAATCACCATGCC